CCCCCCCCCCCCCCTCTTCCCCTTTCTTTACCCTTCTTCTACAAGTTTCTATCTCCCCCTTGTCCTTTGATCATCAGTCCTACTTTATTAAGCGCACATGAGCATCTCCTGGCTGTGGTCATTAAAGCCTGGATTATACTATTAGGTAGCATTAAGAAAATCATCCAGGCTTCGTGATTTCTGTTAATATTCTCTCTGGTTTCTATCAGCCGAAGATGGTAACTGATGCCAAATTGCATTGTACTATAAAAGTCAATTGTCATACCAAAAAATATTTTACTCTCTCTTATAGTTATAACTCTACTAAATGTCTAAGCAACCTCCCTCAAAACTGATAGCTTTATCCAATTCCAGAATAGTACGTGTTTGAGCTGAAGCAGAGAGAACCTAAAAGCTCCTATTTTTCCTTAAAAATAAACGTTGTTTATCCATTTAATATGAAGTGAGACTTTATTAGAGCATATATCCCAGGTAAATCTTGATTATACTAGTTATCAATTTTGAGCTATGACATTATTTATGAAGATGCAGCTTCATACTTGGAAAATTATTGCTAAAATATTCTAACATGTCCTAAGAATGAAGAAAAATTTAACAAATTGCTCAACTGCAAGAGAAATGAAAGTTGATGGTGGTGTTGTACATGAAGCACAGAACAAAACTGTAAATAAATGTTCCCAACCTCCAAATTTTGCATAACTTTCAGGTTGCTCTTGAGCATAAGTAAGATTGTAGAAATCCTTTGTTTGGTAGTTATAAAGATAACCTGCATGGATTATGCATATAAACAGTCAGAATGATTAGAAGCACCAGAATATTAGCACACAACCCTGCCTCCTGCCATATTTGATTGTGCTTACAGAATATTGAACTGTGACTTCTTTAGTGCTTTGTATTATGATTCTAGTAGTAACATATAATTAGGCTATTTGACTAACAATTGAGTGTTAGAGAAGTAAGGGAAAGTAAGAAAAACAATATGATATAGGACAGATAAGTTCATGAAAAGGGTTATGAGTTATTTACTACTAGCAGTAGTAACCTCTGACAATATCAGGGTTTGAAAGAAAAGGATAAACCAACAATAACTCCTCAAGTGATAAGCAATTATCAAACAAAAGGTATTTGCCACATGCAAATGTCCAGTCTTGAAACAGAATAAATTTACCCAGAAAGTACTATAATTGAATAATTCAGGAATTAGCTACCACGTAAATAACTAATACCTTGACCAGGAGAATTCAACAAACTATTCATCAGAATAGTATCATATCCTACGAGCCTGTTTATCAGCAGCTGCTGCCACCTACAAAGAGAATAGTATACTTATGTTAGCATTCATTATTTCAAGAGCACACTTCCACTCAATTTTGTGTTGCAGACTTGATGTTTTTCTGTTGCTGTGTGTTGTACTCTTTTTCCACTGACCTTCCTGAGGTCAAAAGGATCATTTCCTTCCACCTCTTTGTTTTAATGGAAGGGCAGCTGAAAAGGATTCAACTTGATACATTTCATGAGATAAATTATGGCTCAGAAAATTATCAAGTGCAGCAAGTCACTTGAGAATGTGTGTGGTGGGAGGTAATGCATGAAGAAACTTCCACAGTTCTCCAGTTGTTGTTTTATGATGTTTAGATCATCTAAATGTTGAATTCATTATGTGATAATTAACATAACTAGTTTGAGAACAAAACTATGTTACGGAAATCATGTTTGGTACCATATGTATCTGAAATGTGTTTCAAGTAAAAACAAAGACAAATGTGATGCCCGGCACATAGCAGCATCAGACTGACACTGAGATGTTAAATTGGTAAACTATCCCAAGGAAATTCAACCAACGCAACCCGTATTAGGGCATACTTACATTTTACATATCATACACAAATTACAGTTTACATATTTTTGAGAGTCAAAATAATAGTAAAAATTTACAAAACACGATCTATGTATAGGGGTAATTCACTTCACATCTATATTTTCAGAAATTACAATTTACATGCAACTATTGCATTAGAATTAAAAAACAAATAACATATTTCACGTCAAAATTATTGGAAAAATACAAATAAGTAATTTTTGGACTTATGAATACCAATAATAGTATATATATAAGGTTCACTACTATAAAGTAGGTCAAACTATAGAAAACTATAATTGCACTTTGAATGAGTAATATAAAAGGGGCATGGACAGTTAAATGATATCCATCCCTTGGTACAACATGAACATCGAATGAAATGGACAATGAAAGTTATTACCCTTGTCAGAATTGTAGAAAACCAATTCAAGACAGAATTATGAATAAGTGAATCTATTATATAAATAACTTTCTCTTTCTAACATGTTTGTCTTACATTGTAGTTAATTTCTTTCAAAGCAAAGGAATTTTTTTAAAATTCCGATCTGAAGTCAAAAAACTCAATCAATACAATACACAAAGTCTGCTGGTGAAGATCTAGGTAGTGTTTCTCTAAAGGGAGGTGAAAGGATTTCATCCCAACCCCCACCCCAAAAAAAATAAAAATAAATAATCTAACCTATTCCATTGGGGCCTAGGAAGGCTACGCTCTAACCATTTGAGCTAGGCCTTGACCTCTATCTTAGGTAGTTATTGATTCTTAGTGCAGCCTTCTGAAGACACAAGAACACTCTCTTCCCTTGTCGAAATAGAATTAATATTGATATTTGTATGTACATGCTCATCATAATCATAAAGCAAAGAGAGAGAGAGAGAGAGAGAGATAAGTGCATAGCTTTACCTGTTGCCGAAGCAAGTATGTCGGGCTGAGATGCTAATATTAATGGAATGGATGTTATGCCTTGATCTGGCCTCTTCAGGCAATAAGAAATAGCCCTAAAAAAAAAAAAATTAATAATAATAATAAATAAATAAAACCAACGTTTACAGCATAAAGAATACTTGAAAACCAAGAGATGCATCAGTACTACGTAAAATAGTCTAATGGAAAAAAGAAGCCACAAAAATGAGTGAACTAATAAAATAAAGCATACCTTCTCCATTGTATACAAGTAAGCTGGTTCAAATGCCTTGCTTCTCTTTTCAAGCCACTGCACTGTGATATTAACATCAATCACAATCTAAGATTACAAATATGACAAGATTCCAATCACTAAACTTAAGCTGATATCAAACACCTTCATATACTGTATCAATATCTATATATATATCCACAGAATAAGAGGTAGCTAATACTTGTCCTGTTATCCATTAAAAAGTAAGATGATAACACCCAATAGTAATCACTCAATTTATGAGTACCCATTTTCTTGATAAGCACTCAAAAAAATTCACTTAAGCATTTCAAACAGTTAAAATGATGCCCAACATGGATTGAACAACTACATTAGACAATAAGGTAAATAAATTGATAGACTGGTATCAGATGGAAACAGAAATCATGATGTCAGCTGAATAGAGAATATGTAGAGGGAAATGTCTCCTACAAGATAAACTAGGAATGTGGTGGTCTACCATACTCCAAATTTATGAATGTCAACTTCCGTATATACCAAAATGCAGAAGAGAATAAAAACATCACCATACAAGGGTATCTGGCTTTTTGCATGACCTAGGAACAAGAGAAGATTACATTCTTAACTTTTCTGAAGTAAATTATTTTTGCCCATATTATATCAGATGTTATTTCTTCTGGTGCTTGCCAAGTGGGAGCCTATGAGATAATGTTGAAACTATATATCACCAACCACACTGTCAAGCCTCTTTGTCAACTTGATGCACATTAAAAATCAGTTGGAGGTTAGGATTCTGATTCCAAAGAGAAAGAACAGAATTGATAAGGGAACTTTTAATTGAATTTGAAAACACAGAAATAAGAAAGTAGCTACAGGACTCTTCTCTACTCAATTCTTGCCCCCTTCTAATGCCACGTTTACATTTATTTATAAGGTCACTCTAACAGAATTAGTTTTCCCTCAACAGACCCATAATTCATTCCTAACGGATGCCACATGGTCCAGCCTGCTTCCTAGCCTTTCTAGAATAAGTGTGAACAATAGGGGGTCTATCACTACCCCCGGTTTCCAAAGACACCTTGTCCTCAAGGTGAAAGTCCAGAAAGTGTTGGAGAATTGATGTCACAGGTTCCCATGAAACTTCAAAATCAGGCAGTCTTTTCCACTGTATCAGGGCTTCAAGTCCCAGGTGTTGCCCCGCAGGTGCCTGGCGCACCCCCAGAACCTTTTCAAGCTCCACATTCCAGTTCAGTTCAGCATCCAGGAGTGGAGGCAGCTGTTGCCATGGTTCGGATGACCCCAGTGCTTTCTTCAGCTGAGACACATGGAAAACCGAGTGCATTGCAGCTGTAGGGGGTAAGTCCAAGCGGTAAGCCACCGGTCCAATACACCTCACAATTTTAAAAGGGCCAAAGAATCGATGGCCCAGCTTTTCATTAAGCTTCCTTGCCAACGAGCGGAGTCGATAAGGACGGAGTTTGACATAAACCATATCCCCTTCCTGTAGTTTTACTTCTCTTCGATGCTGGTCCACCATGAGCTTCATCTTAGTTTGTGCTTGCTCAAGGTGTGATTTCAACTCTACCAAAATAGCATCCCGATCTGTAAGTAGTTGTTCTACAGCCGAAACGGTTGTAGGCTGCTTGTCATAGCGTAGTAGCGGAGGAGGGTCACGACCATACACAGCCCGGAAAGGTGTGGTCTTTGTGGATGCATGAAAAGTTGAGTTGTACCAATATTCCGCCCATGCCAACCACGTATACCAGCTGCGAGGTTTGTCGTACGCAAAGCACCTCAAATATGTTTCAAGGCAACAGTTCACCACTTCAGTCTGCCCGTCTGTCTAAAGGTGGTATGCTGTGCTGCGGCGAAGAACAGTACCCTGCAGGCGGAACAACTCGGTCCAGAATTGGCTAAGGAAAATCTTATCACGATCTGATACTATTGAACGGGAAATGCCATGCAGCCGCACTATTTCTCGGGCGAATACACCAGCCACTCCTACCGCTGTGAAGGGATGTTTGAGCGCCAAAAAATGACCATATTTACTCAGTCTGTCCACTACCACCAATATAGAGTCGTACCCACCTGACTTCGGAAGCCCCTCAATAAAATCCATGGAGATATCTTCCCATATTTGCTCTGGAATTGGTAGGGGCT